CACATGCACACATACAGTACATACATTTTTTAGAGCATTTCATAACCAAGTGTGTGAAAACCTTACCTTTTTCCTTTATACCCACAATTTTTTTGTTTTGTTTWTTAGAAATGTCTTGCCTTCGCTACTGGGTTCAAAGAAATATTATTATTTGATTTTATTTTTTAACATCTCCCTGCACGTATGCTCATGTTAGCAGACCTGACAGTAAATTCTGGCTTTGTAAATATTTGGCCAGATGCTTGTGAACCATGTTCTAATTGAAGTGGACTACTTCCTGCCAATTAGTGAAATACTCGTTGAGCTTTAAAGGAAACCCCAAAGGGTACAGTATCTAGAGGCCTCCTCCTTGAAATATGCACAGGGAAAGAAAAATATTAACTTGGGTATCTAACATCAAGCAAGGACATAATTAGTTTTTTCTTCTTTATCTTTACAGTATATGATGTTGAACTCAGTATGTRTAGTTTTCAGGTCAAGGTATTAGAATTGAGATGAAGAGAAAACAATTTCAGCTGTTGAACAGAAGAGGGCAGCATGGCAGTGAAGCAAAGACAACTTTTAATCAACCTACTGTAAATGAAGATTTCATGTCAGCTCGATCTACTTTTCTTGGAAAATGTTTTAAATAACACGCTCAGGTGTTTCCATTGCAGATTTTTTTTTCACTTGCATTAAACACCCAATGACTTTGCATGACTAAYGGCTTGTGGTTTTACTCTGTTTTAGTTCTTGTTGGTTGATTTAGAGTATTTAGCTTTTTTTGTCATTCATCAGTCCCAAAACATAAATCTACAGTATCTCTGTTAATACAAAGGCCTCTCTTCTTCCCACTGCAAAAATGAAAAACATGACATGCTTCACATTCCACAGAGAACACCCACACCCACACCCACCATTGACAACAACACTAAATAACAGCATTACTCCAAATAAATACATCTAATCTAATAAGTTTTAGTAATGACTGAGAACAACAACAAAAACAAGAACAAGAAAAGCTTTCCTGGTTCATTTATTTGTTTTTTGTTTAAAGAAAAACTTTATTCCTTAAAGCCACTGGATGGCACAGCTGCTGCACAAAGAGCATTTATTACATCTCAGGTTACAGCATTGAACAAGTAAAATCAATATGAAAATCCAGTTTTGTACACAGAGGCATATTCAAGTTCAACTTCCAAAAGCTATAAATACTGAAGCRTTTCAACTAAACTATTTAGTGCACTTCCTTTGTATTTTGTAGCGACAACAAAGCAGAAACTAAATAAATATTTCAATGTCCAAAAACAGAATATGAATATAAAACAACAGCTGAGTAAAAACAAATGAGAGAGCAAGCTTATGAAGGCTTTTAGACATTGTTTTTTTAATTACCRTGTGAAGTGTTGTTGTTAATTACAAGTTATTGTAATTAAATGTGCTACAACATGCTGCCATTTCTTTGAAACACTGGTGTTCAGTCCAGTCTGACCCCAAACACTGCACCACTTGTAGTCCGATGATGGACGTTWTCTCAGTCCAAACGTGCTTGAACTGTTTTTGTTCCGGACACCTGGCTGAGGCGAGTGGCTTCATCCCCGTCCTTCTGCTTCATACCCAAACTGTTGTGGTGTGCTCTGGAGGTTTTTCCTACGACAGACGGCAGTAGTAGTTATCACTTCATTTTGAGTTATGCAAACAGCTATTTCTGCTGGATATTGTTGCTGGTTGATGTTCACCTTCTGTTGCTGAATGTACAGCACAGCGTCATGGACTGTGACAAAAATATGTTGAGGGTTCATGTGGCTCATCAGGCCGCTTGATGTCAGCATCTTTAGGACGCTTTCTAAGAAGGAGCAACAGTTTGAATTTAAATCAATGATAGCAAAATAAAGAAGACTATTTAGAAATATGTATTAGTCTTACCATTGCAGTTAGCCAAATACACATGAACGCCAATTTTCTGGCACTCAGTGCACATCTAAAAGTCAAAAAGCCATCATAATTTATAAAGATATATATTTTTTAGAGATGTAGTATTGTTTTTGCTGTTATGACTAACCTGAGTGAAGAGTCTTGCTCCAGCAATATCAACAAATATCACACTGCTGCAATCAATCAGCACAGCCTGGACGTCACTCTCTGAGGTTTCTGCAGAGAAATACAATTCTAACTTACCCTGAAACATTTTAAACAATGTGATTAAAGTGATTTAATATGTTTTACCTGATTTAAAGAACTCATTTTCTGAGGAAAATGATGTGTTTGTGATGCTACTATCCTAAATAAGAAACATAAAGTGAAATAGTTATTGAATGACTCACAAAATCTGTAAATTGTTTTGCTGTAGTTTTGCCTACCACTGTGCTGACGGCGGTTTCTTGGTCCCGGCTCTCCACAGCCTTCCTTGCCTTTTCTCTGCTGCGGATCTTTTCTGGCGTCAGGCCCAACAACTTGCTCATCTTCTCCCTGAAGAAGCTGCGGTTGCCATAGTAAATGGGCCCATTGTAGGTGAGGATCTTCACTCCGGGCACTTCATAACACTAACGAGGAAACGGCACAGTCTCATCTTTATTTGTTTTAGGAATTCTCCATGAATCATCTCTCAGATTAGAAGGAGCTGGGATGAAGAACTTATTTTGTTGTTGTTGTTGTTTATTTTCTTTAATGTAATCAAGGTTTCTGAGCCTAAGATAGATTCTTCTTTTGCACCGAGTGAAAAGATTAACGACAAAAGACTTCACTCACCTTGTTGTGATTCTCCACTGGTCTGTATATTTCTGTGTTGCTCGCTCGTCCAAGCACTGAGCATTCAGCCCTGTGGAATCAACGATCAGCCATTTTATTAATCAGTTTTAAATGTGTCCTGCGTGTTTAAGTGTCTATATGAAATTATAATCACAGATCATTTCAGATGTTTAACATTACAGTAAGATTCCTCACACAAAACTTTAAACAGAATTACTGCTGCTGGATTATAAACCAGCATTTGTTGAGAGGGAATAGAAGTTGTACCTTTGTGTGCGACAGATGACAGTCATCATCGAGAAACCCACTCCAATAGCCAGGCCTAGGTCTACATTGAGGACCACCACGGAGAGCCAGGTTACAACCCAAACCAGCTGCCCGAAGACAAAGATACATTTCTGGATGTCAGCATCAATTGTTACCAAATAAGGTAAAAATGCAAAGGTGACTTGATTAATACATGTTGGCTGGAAAGCTTTTTTTGTTGTTGTTGTTGTTCAAAAATCTGGGCAACTTTGCCTTTGAGGTGAGTTACAAAAATGTCGACAGTTCTCTATTTCTTCATATTCTTGTTGCCACTAAATGACCTTACAAAGTCCAGCTTGCTGATTCTCCACAGCTCAGGTAAGTCTTGGAACTGCAGGAACATTTGCCTGAGGCTGGTAACATTGATGCATGCCAGGACCGCCTGAGGACAGAAATAATAGAGGGTGAAGAGTGGAAACCCCCCCACCCACCACTGTTTTTCTTAAACTTGAACAGACACGTTTGTGAAGTGGACTGAAATGGAAAACCTTTTAACAAAGACAGCTAAGACAGTTTTCTGAGTCCTGAGATTTTATTGCTTGCTACAGCAAGGAGTGCATCACATCACATACCTATAGGTTTCTGAACAATTCAAGCTTCACACAGTCTTTTAGCAGTTTTCTAAACCCACCGTCAAGTCACGTAATCCCCAATAAACATTAAAACACTCTCTGTTCCTGTGATCGAAAAATCCATTATCTTAGGTCTCATGACCCAAGATAAACAATCCCTTTCGCACCCCATCTTTGCATTGTCCTAGCATTCATTGTCCCCTTGATTAAATCACAATCCAATCAAATATCTACCACACGTGGACACACCTTAGGTAAGAAGTAAAACAGTGGTCCAATCAGCAGCAGGACGATCAGAACAACTAGACTGGTGAAGAGGCCAGAGAGCTGCAAGTAGACACACACAAAGTCAGTTTCCCTTAAAGCCTCAGTGTTCACAAAGAAATTAGTTGTGGCATCAACACCACAGACGGTTCATAAAATCTCCTTCATGCACAATACCTGTGTGTATCCCCCGGCGCTCTCGAGGACGTTGGTGGTGGCCAGCGTGGCTGAGCTGGGGAAGCAAGTAAAAAAGGAAGAGACGGTGTTGGAGATCCCATGAGCCAGCAGTTCCTGAAATCAGAGATTCAGTTCAAACTGATCACAACCTTGGCTACAGTTCCACCTGACATCACATCAAGCAGCTGCAATATTCCTGACTTTTACCTGGTTGGGATGTATGGAATACCCATGTTTGTCTGCGTAAATCATTGCCAGTGAGACAGACACAGCATAGCCAACAAACGTTATAGCGATTGTGTCACCAGCAATGGCAGGGAACACGTGGAAGGCAGGTGGCTGTGGCCTTGGAAATCTAAGAATAAGGCAATTGGTAAATATTAGTCAAAAAAGTTAAGTCCAAAAGCATTTCCCTTTGTGAWGACTTCAAAGATTACCCAGCTGGGATGTGGCCGACGATCTCAATGTTGTAAGAAGAGTCCAGAGATGAGGCGTATGTCACAAAAGTAGCAATAATTACCTGAGAAGTGAAGCATWAATTCCCAAATTACGAGCAGGGATTTTAAATTTGGCAAAGTTATGTCTTCAGAACTCAGTGACCGACCGTGAGAATCTCCGCAGGAATAGGAGTGCGTAGGCGGTGCCGGTAGCGTGTATTGACCTCTTTAACAGGAACGAGGATGGCCAAGCACACCAAAGAGATGAGCAGCTCAGCTGTGTTGGTGTGAGGCAGGTTCTCCATCACTACTGCTAAAGTCTGAGCACAAAACACAGTGAGCAAACTAAACATTCTGCTAAAAAAAGGACAAAAAATGGGTAAAGCAGCAAGATATAAACTGGTCACCTTAAAGAGTGAGAAGGTCCCTGTGTGGCGAGGGAGCCGCAGACCCAGCATGCTTTGCAGCTGGGAGATGGCAACATGGAAGGCAGCGGCACTGGTGAAGGCTTTAACAATTGGCTCTGACAGATAGGTGGAGAGGAAGCCCAGCTGAAGACCGAACATGCAGAGCTGGAGAATAACAAAGCTTAATAAGTATAAAAAAAATCTCATTCTAATTTGTGTACACACGTTTCTACATCTGTTTTACCATAATGATTCCTGAGAGGAGTGCTACAGCAGAGGCCACTCCAATTCTCTGGGCCTCAAAATCTGCTGCTTGGGGTGAGCTGGAGTTCATCTCCAGAGGAGTGGGAACCAGCTGCTCCACAACTGACCCTGTCATCAGACTCACTACAGCAAAAGTACCTGACAGGGTAAATAGAAAAGAATAAATTAGAACAGAAAAACTTAATTGTCTGTCCAAGATAGTGAAAGGATTTTTTTGTTTGACAGGGCTCCAATTACAGTATTCTTGCTCTTAAAATATATAAAATATAAATAAGTGCTCAAGATACACATCAAAGGCACATTGAAACACACAAAATTAACAGCAGAGAATGTATTAGTTGACTTGAAAGCAAATCTCTTTAAAAAGAAATGATGTTTGACACATCTAAACCAGACGTGGCTGACTTTACCTGTAGACACGTGGCGACCTGTGCCAAATATCATATATAGAACAACAGGGAAGAAGGACGTGTAGAGGCCGAATATTGGAGCCACCGAGGTGAGCAGAGCAAAGGCCATACCTGTTTGGAAGGGAAAATATGTTATGAGCATTGTTTTGAACTCTTTCTAACATTTAAACTTAAATACGTCTTTGGCAATTTTTTAGGTTAATTGTATTTCCATAGATTCTTCTGAAGAGCCAGCAATTAATGCTTCACGGTCCACAGTAGGGTCCTGAACCCAAATTTGGGAGAATTGCAGGTATCATTTACAATAGCTGACACATTTTTTTTTTGGTTTGTTTATTTTATTCTTTTTATTTAGAAAAGTAAGATTGAACTTTAATTATGACAAAAAATCTAGGGCTGCAGTGACAGAAAATTTCCCTGAAGTGTGTCTGAAATTAACAGTGGGTTTCCCAGAGGAAAAAAGTAAAAGCACAAATTTTTATTTTTACGCTAGAATACTGTATAC